TTTTTTTTTTTTATTTCAAACAATTTGAATGAGATTTTTCTTGTTGTTTACGATAATACTTGGACCTGGTCTTAAATTCTTATTGTCGGTCCGTTCATGAATTAAACGTGTTGGAAAAAAAAAAAAAAAAAAGAAAATCTTTCCCCTATTCATTTTTACCTCGCTTCGAAATAATATTTCCCCTCAACTGACCTTATTTTTTTCCCTCTCTCTCTTTTTCTCTCTTTGGAATCAGATTTTTCGTATAAATTTTTAGGGCAATTTGTTGAAGTAAAAAAATGTTTCTTAAACATTTAAGTATTAGATACACATGATCCATCATTTTGAGATAGTTTATGTCTTGTATGTAGTCTCTCTCTTTCTCTCTCTCTCTCTCTTTCTCTATTTGTCTATTTGTCTCTCTCTCACACTCTCTCGTTCTATTAATCCTCATCTATCCAATGTAAACTGAAAGCTCTTACGCAACGAAGAAGATTACACAGTTGCTGTTTGATTAAATTTCGTAGAATGTAAATCGAGTAAAAATGAAACACTTGAAAAATAAAACAAAATAAAATCAAAATTGTTCGTTTAAAATCAATTTTATGGACAATTGTCGTTTGATTACAAGATTGAGTGGTTAACTTTGAAAAAATAAATTTCATTGGTACTAAAAAAAATAAGAAGGGGTATTAATGAAAGTGTAAGTATTTTTTTTTCATACTTTTACAGATTCGAGTTACTTTTCTGCTCGCACTTTTTTTAACGCAGTAAACGGGTGTTCTATTAAATTTCATAGAATGTAAATCGAGTAAAAATAAAAAAATTAAATCAAAATCGTTCGTTTAAAATCGATTTTAGAGAAAATTGTCGTCTGATTACAAGATTGGTTAGTTAACTTTGAAAAAGTAAACCTCAATTGGTACCAAAAAAAAAAAAAAAATAAGAAGGGGTATTAGTGAAAGTGTGAGTATTTGTTTTCATACTTTTACAGATTCGAGTTACTTTTCTGCTCACACTTTTTTAACGAAGTACACGGTATGTTTTTATTTTTTTTTCGAATTGGTCATCCATTTATTTAGCCGATCTGATAGAAAAAAACTAGTATAATCCTCCTTTCAATGTGACTATGACTATTGATCTACGAGTAAAGATTAAAACGTTTTCGTTTTTTTTAAAAACGTGAACAGTTTTCCATCGTTGAAAGAAAAAAAAAATTAAATCCCAAATGGAACAATTCGTTTAATAAATCAATTAACCAGTTAAGCGTGTTTGACGACTATATTCGTCATGGAGATGTGGCCAAATTTTGTGTGTTACGACGTCTATATCCTTCATGCGTAAAAGTTTGTTACAATTTGATGTTTAAATTGTAATTTTGGCAAAAACTAAATTATATTCGTAAATTTTAATATGTTTCAAATGTTTAGAGGTTAATAAAAAAAAAAGAAGTCAAGAATAAATTTGTAACTTCTATAAAATATTCAATTCTTTCTCTAACTTTTTCGTTTATTATGTATAAATATATGTTCATATTAAAAAACTGTGTGTTCATTATTAACAAAATTGTTCATTTTCTAAAATAAATTCGTCTTTTTGACTATCCAATATTTTAACAGTGTCACTTAGTTTTGATTATCGTAACACACACCAGAGAGCACTCTGTGCACAAATCGAACACACATAACTGGTTAAAATAATTTGTAATAATCAATGCCTAATTTTTCCAATTTTATGTTAATTAATCCACTTATTACAATTGTTTATCGTTGAGTATTATTCAATTAATCAAATTTTACACAATCACATTTGTATTTTATATTTTCAATATAATGGCAAATGTAAATGAGAATAAATTGATACTTTAAAAAGATACATTAAAAAATTGGAAGACAATTTAAAGATAAAAAAAGATGTCCTAAAGGAAAAAGAGAGGATACTCTTTTAAATCGAGAGTGCTATCGATTGTCTGAAGATTCCTAAAACGATTACAACCTCGAGCAGCAGTTTTGCAACAATTAAAAAGCACTTTTCTCCACCACGACCTTCTTCAACATTATCTCTCGATGTTAGATGTGTTCAAAGTAGAAGAAAAAAAAAACCTATAGAGTATCCTAGTTTGCTCCCTTTCTCGTGACTACCTCCTTCCCTCATTCTCAAATGTAAGAAGGGTTTTCTCACCTCTTCAAAAAAAAAGAGACAAGATGATATCGGGACAACGAGATGACCCTTTTTCGATTATATCGTTTTATAACGACCTTCGAGTGGTAACCTTAGCTGCCTTTAATGACGCATAAGTACTATAAATTGATTAAATTTAATCGTGTAATGATCATATTTGACCATTGATCATACAATTTATTAATTTTGCAAAGTAATTCGATAAATTGGTAAAAAAAAAAAAAAAAATACAAGAAATATAAATATTAGGAGGTATACGTTTTGTCTTTTAATATTTATCTTATGAAGTTTCAATATTTTTTAATTTTTTTTTTATTATATATATTATATATTGTTATTTATTATATATTATATTATTATTATTATTATTAATATTAATTGGTACTAGGAACTCGAAAGTTCATTACCGTAAATACCAAATCCACAAATAATAAATTTTATTTGGAATATATTTATATTGGTAATATAAATATATTTTTGCAACAACACATTTCAATTAAAAAATATAAATAAATGATACAAAATAGAAATATTTATATATTTTATGTATTTTATCTTTTCTATATAAGCTTCTTAAAAATTCAGATGACGTGTCAGACTCGTCAAATGTAACCAAAAGGTTAATTTGAAAATAATAAGAAAGAAATGTAAGTAAAAAGATGGACTTACCCGTTAGCTCGTCCACCAGATTCACCTCCTTGTCCGCTTGCGTTCTAACAAACAAAAAAACAATTTTTTTTTTTATTATTATTAAAAACAAGCCTAGTAACATTTTGAAAAACGAAATAGAGAAGGCGCGAGTGCGCGCTCGTATGTCGGTCGCGCGAACGACGATGACGCAGGCGTTCATGAATTTTTTATTTTATTTATTTTATTTTCTTCCATGGCTTTTTTTTTTGTGTGTGGAAAAAAATACGATAAAATATACACAGTCTTTAGAAAAAGTGCTGCCACGGAAAGAATTTTCTTGTTTGTTGATACTTCGCGAATTGAACGAGAAGATCCTTTCTCGTAAGGGTATAATTTAAGTTGACATATATATATGTATATATATGTTTATTCCTTTTAGAAATGGGGAAAAATATCTACCCCTCTCTTTCTCTACCCTTTTTGGCAAATTCGAAGTAGGAAATCTCGCAAAAAAAAAAAAAAGTTCTTTCCGTGATCGCACGCGCACGATGATGCTTCCGCTCGAAAAACAGAATTTTTTTGTCGAAAGAAGAAGCACTGATCCGAGTTTGTTCCCAAAAAAAAAAAAACTTGGGAAAAGAGAGACAAATGCTCGTAACCATAACAATAATAATATTAATAATAATATGAAGAAGGAAGAAGAAGAAAAAACTTTGCTGTTACAAAAATTACATCTTAAAAATTCTCATACGTACCATACACCAACATTACCTTATTAGCTAATAGCATTGAACGTCAGAAATAAAAGTTGGAAAACCAAAAAAATGTAATAAAATATAAGAGACAACATTTTTCTCACTAACTTTGCAGCATTATCATCATCATCATCATCATCATCATCATCATCATAATCATTTTCTTCTTCTTCTTCCTACTTCATCATCCAATTCCATGACGTCGCACCATCAACGTATTACGATCACTTTTTTTCCTACACTTCTTCTTCTTCTTCTTCTTCTTCTTCTTCTTACATTTTTTTTCTTTTTCACATATCGATTACTTTACTATTACTCGTTTCGTTTTCTTTTGACGCCATAGAAACGAATAACGTTCTTCTTATACTTATGTTAGTACGAGTAAACGCGACGAAATATCCGTCCTAGTAAAGGATGAGCCAGCATTTATCTTAATCCCTTTTCTTGTAACCACGGATAAGCACTTTTTCCTTAAAACCGTAGTCTCAATTCTTTTTACTACGATATTCTGTTCCCATTAATCAAGAAAAACCAACCGATTGAAAATCGATTAGAAATTGCCATACTATCGTTTCACCATGTATAATTATCTTTCTGATTTTTACTAAATTTTCTCACCAATTTTTCGACCAATCTTCGGAACAATTTTTCTTTCTTCTTTCAATAACTTTTCTTATCTTCGTAAAATATTGTTCTCTTTCCAAATTATATTCATATTTATATTATTGTAATATTATTATAATATAATATATATATTTATATTATATTATAATAAT